TCTTCTTCTTCTTCTTCTTCTTCTTCTTCTGATTTGCGTTCCCGAGGAAGGGTGTGACGGCAAGGAGACGCTGTAACAATACTACTAATCTCCGAAGACCAAAACGTCTGTGTTTCCGAGGGGTCAAACTACTGACCACTAAAAACGCTTGTTTGCGGGAACAAACTTCATAGACGTAAAATGCGACAATTTTATGAGAAGAGTACGGGGGGCATCGCCTGTCCTGCTGTCTCGTGAAGAGCACGCGGATCAACCGAGGGCTATTTGGAACCCATTGTCATACATCTAAAAACCTATCGGTTGTCGGTGTGCAAACAGATCGGCGTTCTGGTGTACTCATCGAGTGAAGGAGGAAGACGGAGGGAGTTGTCAGCTTCAAGATCTACGCGAATAGTTAAAATGGGACCTTCTATGAGGAGCTTCTAATGGAGTGACATACCCATTAGGATGACTTCTGGCGAAAGGATTTTGTCAATCAAAAATTATTTTAAAAGATTGCTCGGCTACGAAAAACAACTCCAGAACTTACGATAACGTAGGACAAGGCGGGTAGAGGGAAGGTGGTCAGGAGAAAGCCTTTCAGTATGGAATGATGGATGAGGGATCATGTTCAGCCCAAAACAAGGCCTTTTCAAACAGTAAAAAAGGTTATATTGAACAGCTAACTTACTTGGATACGACGGGCTGATCGGAAGATGTCAGTTGGTAGTCGAAGACGTCAACGTAACCAAAGGACTGTGGGTCAGCATAACCCGGAACTGGCAGTCTGGACATCTCGGTAAGGACTTTGTGTTCGACCTTAAAATTAAATGGATAATAACGTTAATTAGAGAGGAGGAGGAACTTCCACATCATAAAAGACTCAAAAGTAAAAAGTAATAAAAATGTAATTCTCATCAGCAAGTGCGGAACCCTTGACCGCGAGCGACAGTGCAGGCTTTACGTTTGACGCAATTGAAACATTTTAGTAAAATGGGAGAGAATACAAAGCAAGGTACCTGCGTTGAAGATAACACATGTTAAGGTAAAAAGAACATGTCCCTCCATTTGGAAAGGTGCTCAGCCGATTAAACCAAATCTTATTTCTTTTTTTTTTAACTTACTTGAGTAGACTAGGCGTTATACAATTTAGTACCGGCATCGTAAAGTAAGCAATGCTTTCTCACGCCACATGACTGTAAAACTGTTTTCAAACCGCCAAGCTTTCCTGCATATTTGCTGACTTTTCGCGAGTGCCCTGACGTTAGCCTGAATACGGGTGCGTTAAGGGCTCAATTTACCGTTAGATAAGCCCGACAAAATAGTATAGAGTTCAAGATACCCAATCGTGCAACACAAACTACTCCAGGAAGGAGGACGGAAATGACGATATGAAGACTTAGTTCTTGAATGCTGAGATTCCGCTTGACAAGGGGCAGCACTGGAATTCTAGGGGATCGATCGCAATACATTCTTAGTCTTTGGAAAAACCGTATACTCCGTTACCATTCTGTAATTTTTGAATGAAAAATTTCGATAGCACCTACCACTCAACACAATGACCTGCTTTTCCGTCGAAAAAGAAAAGTCACCGGTGGAATATGAACTGACCTGAGGGCTTTTCCCATGCAATATTCTATTACTTTCCACTCTCTCAAGAAAGCCTTCGTCTGTTACGAATACGCGAACCACCAAGTGCATCTAGTGTTCCTTTTCGGTGTTGGGAACTAAGTTACTGGCATGCCTGCGGCGAACAGTCAGAACTGGTTCTAGGTTAAGTCAGCCAGGTCTATGCGGTTTTAAAAAAGTATTTGAAGTTTCGTGCGGCCGTACTTACTATTCGCTATACAGGCATGAAAACTTTGGGCTGCCAACGACTGCACTAGCGTAGATAAGGCCCAGAAGCGGGCGACAAAAATGACCATAGGTCTGGGCACACTGCCCTTTGCCTATTTTCCCCTTCCCATAGACGACTATGAGGGAATCTCAAAATAACCTTTCACATTATGAATGAGCTGGAGTTTTGATTTGTTACCAACGATTTTTTCACTCAAGCTAACAGACCCACTTTGCGTGGCCATCCCCTAAAACTACGCCCATAAAACGCAAAGATCGATGGATGCAAAGTTTTCGTTAGTAATAGAGTGATTTCAGAGTGGAACGTTCTGCCCAAGGATGTTGTCCTCGCCACCTGCGTGAATTCATTGAAGAGAAAAGTGGACGCACACCAAGCTACTCACGTCAAGCTATGCGCTAAATGCAAACCAATTATATGTAACCATACCACTCCTATTAAGGGAGTAGACCTTTGTGTTTACTCTTTTCGACTAACCAACGACTGCTCTTTTTTGAATCTCTCTTTTGTACCAATGCTTCTCTTAGCTACTTGGTAACTAATAAGGAGCGCTAAAGCGTTCGCCTACTTCTTCATTAATAAAACTGAACTGCACATTCCAAACTGACTCATTT